CCCCATGGTTCATCGGCCGTTACGTGAGAGCGATAAAGAAAGTCACAGAAATCCGTGCGATAGAGAAAGATGGCTATAATGAAAGCGTCTAATAGTGACCGCCCATTTCGCCCTTCCACAAATGAGATCCACTTCTTATTTGTGGAAGAGCGAAATGGGCGGTCACTATTAGACGCTTTCATTATAGCCATCTGTCTCTATCGCACGGATTTCTATGACTTTCTTTATCGCTCTCACATAATGGCCAATGAACCATGAGGACTTTCCGACCCTGTATACGTATTCAAGGGTACATCTTCTAAGATCGGGCGTGAGTATTATCTAAGAATTTTAAATATTGGAAACCATTTAAACGTGGCGGAAGCTCAACAGGTCGTAATAAATGGTCATCGATAATTCTAGCCCATACATTAATAGCAAATTGATATTTGGAATAGTACACAATACGGTATTTAAAACGGCTTCTTCCACATCTACAGTTCTTAATGACCGTGGGCGAGCGTGTTCTCTAGTACCTTTAAGCCCAAAAACCTTTTTCTCGAAGCCTTCGAACAATTGCATCAATTGCATATCGCCTTTCTGATGCTAAAAAATTACATCTACATTCTCCATATACCACATGCATGTCGGCCATTTCGTTTAAACTGTACTAATTATAATAAATACGACATAATTAAATTTTCTAACGGTGGGAAAATAAAGATAAAAATCAAAAACTACGGCACAAATAAGTAACTTGAGACAATATATTGCTATATTTTGGACGCCTTTATTTTTATATGTTGTTGTTAATATGACACTCACTCAGCGTGTGTGTTCCTTTTCTATTTATTTGTATCTGGATTAACGAAAGAAAATTTCTAGGTGCTTCGGTCCATCAAGTATTAATAAAGTCTACACAACAATTTGAACTTTGGTTGGAGTCTAAACACAGTTTATGAAGTTATGAGGGTCTTTTACACTCTGCACATATGATTTTGCAGTCCTACTACAATTTTACAATTAAAAATTTACAAATTCTGAGGGAACAACAAATGTCAACATTTAAATGATACATAAAAGTTTTCACAGATGCTTAGGTTTAATTCCACACATACATTCTGGTCACAGGTATATTATGCTTTGTTTATATACCTGGTTTATTGCATGAATCAGTATTATATGTGAAAAACCTTCTATATTTTTAAATGTGCTCATGCCAGAACTTTTAATTGACGTTTAATATTGTAATATGGTTCTTTACTGTTCTTTATAACATAATTGTGCTACATGAGTGCATTTAGATAATTTTATGAATATGCAAATTCAATTTTTGTCATAATTTTGACAGTCGAGACGTTTTATTGTGAACATTTAATAATTACACCATTTTAACTTATACTATTGATAAATATCCTTCATTTAAATTCATTACAGTCATCCACACCCTGTTTTTGTCTATTTCAACTATATTCCATCTCAACATTTGTATTCATTTGACAATTTTATGATTCGCTTGCCGAGAAACGAATCGATTAAGTTTTCAAATTTAATAAAATATAACAATATTTACGTTTTTCTTCAATTTTCCCGGAAAAGAAACCGGATTTCTTTACATTATTTCTGTTTTCTCTTAAAAACAGTCCCGTACACAGTCCGATTGAACTTATTTGATGCCGATAAAGACTCAAGACTATCAACCGAACCGTGAGGGATTCAATAATTCAATTTAATAATTCCGGTGCGCCTTCACACATCGGCACTGCACAAATTATTTTACAGCCCCCCCGCTTATGGCACTTATGCCCTTTGCTCGGGAGTTTGATTGATGGCCGTTTAGAGGATTGTGCGGCGATGTTCGATTGGCACCCCTAGTTCCCGAACACCCCATAGGAATATCTGCAGTCCTCCGCGGAGACGTCCTCAATAAAAATCCACCCTTCCAATTTCCAACTTATTCATTTATCTAGAAATGTCTCCTGTAATGCCGCTTTGATAAAGAATTCAGGCCGACTTATAAATAAGATTTGGGATGTTTTCGGAGCCAGTGGGTTGTTGAAGAGTAATTCCGATTCCGCTGTGGATCTACAGGGCGATACGTTTGAGACTCTCCACCCTGGCACCTCAAAACTCGAAAGTGATATTAAATCCTAAATAGTAATGCCATTGCTCCTCGTGACTGTGTTTGAAAAAGTTAAACACGANAAGAAAAATTATGGATTACAACAAATATTTCGCATAGTTTGACGAAAGTATATACATTTGAATGGAATAAAATAATATTTGCGGCAAATAATTCCATTTAATGACATTATTTTCGCTTTGTTTATTTCTGAATTATCCTGGGGCAATTGTTATTCTCTGATCATTGAATTCGACAATATTTATCCTTAGATTTGTGTGTGGATTTTCTTCAACGGTATTTAAAACGGCTTTTTCCACATCTACAGTTCTTAATGACCATGGACGAACGTATTCTCTAGTACCTATAAGCCCAAGAACCTTTTTCTCGAAACCTTCGAACAATTCCATCAATTGCATATCGCCTTGCTGATGTTAAAAAATTACATCTACATTCTCCATATACCACATGCAAGTCGACCATTGCGTTTAAACTGTACTGATTATACAGGGTGATTCAGAACTTATCGAAGAAAAAAATTCTGGATGTACAGGAGACCCTTACAAATACAATTTTGTAAAGAAAAAATCAAAAAGGGCATTTCGAAAATTATATAAAAATACACTTCTGCACGGCACTGGAAATTGGTCCACTGTAAAACCTGACCTCGCACAATGCGACCGGCATGGCGGTGTGATAGAAACGGACAAAAACTTTCGCAAGGAAAGAAATATGTAAATAGAATTTTATCGCACCTATTTTATATCGGCAAATTCAACAGATTTTGCCTNGCGTGTGTGTGAGGGTGTCTAGGTTTTAGTCGTGTGGGGATGCCCCCTTACGGGGGCGTACGTGTCTTATGGTGTATTAGTCTGTCTGGTATATTGTTTGTCGGGGGTCGCAATTTTAAAGAAATGTATTCTAAAATAATGTAAAAAGCCGGGGATTAGGTCGGTGGTTAAGAGGAAAGAAATGGCGGATTCTTTCCAGGTAGCCTTAATAAAGGCAGGTAGATCTTGCTCGTTGCAATGCACTTCACTTCACAATAAACACGTCCGCACAGTTCGAACGCTCGCTCTAGAATGACCCATGCATCCGAAATCCGACGATACGAAGGTCCGAAAGTGGTCCTATTGGTTAATATACATTCAAATTTTTACCGCTCATTTTCATTCGAAATTTTTAAAATTCATACGACGTCGGAAAAAGTAGAAATAATTTTAACTTTTATCCGAAATCGTATGTTTTTTGATGATTTCTATGAGATTAAATTCGGATGCATGTGAATTATAATATTATCATTCGTACGAATTAAAATATTTTCGGATATCGTACATCAGATTTCGGATGCATGGGACACCGGCCTTCTTCACTTCACGCCATAATCCCAGAATAGAATAAGGTTTCTATTCTGTGCCACAATCAATAGCCACAGGTCACAGCACAGTACAGTATAATACCACAGGACAGCATGCTGTTACCTGTGACCACAGATCAAGAAAAGATATCTCGATCTGTGCCTGTGACCACAATTTTCAACATAGTTTGCAAATTATGAAGAAGAGGAAGAATTTAATGGAATTTTTAATAAAATATGGATGTGAGGTGGAATTAGTTTTGTGTACTTTGTACGTGTTAATATTTTAATTATTAAAATATAACGGTGATGTACGTTTTCCATTATTATTGTTATATTATTATAAATACGATGATGTGTATTGTTAAGTTTTGTGAGAACAATTCTGTGGACTAACTGTCAAACGTAGCGGCCGCAATGGCGTCTGATAATGAAGCTTCTTGTGAAAGCGATCCAAATTTTGCTGTTATCTGTGCTTTTTTAGAAAAATTTGGAACACAGTGTGGTTTACCTAATGTAGATTTCTTAGAGCTACAAGGTGCACTTGAAAATACCGAAGAAGGTAAATAATTATGTATATTTACACCCATTTATTATGACCCTGTAATTGCCACAACCAATTTGTTTGTTTATTATAATTATTTAAATTTTCTTACCTATTTACCTAATAGGTGTCCTTAGGTATGTGAATATACATCATGGTATATTTTTCCTTTTATATTTATATAAATACCTATTTTAGTTCAATTATGAAAAATTCATATAAAAAATAAAAACAAATAAGTACTCAAGTATCCACTACAGTTAAAAGTGAAGTATTTTTTATGATTATTTATTTTGACGTCAATTTAAGTTTCAACTTAATTGTTATTGTTTAGAAAATCAAGTTATATTAGTTATAATTATACTTAAAAATTTGTATCGAACATACTTAATCATATTTTTTAGAATAATTTATATAAACAATAATATTTACATGGTATTTAAAATAGTTTTCTATCCATGCACACTAATTATTGTTAAAAGAAATATTTGCAGTTAAAAATTTTGCTCAACAGAGTATGTTATTATTTAAAGTATCGAATAAAATTAGAACATCTAATTAAAATGTACAAATAAATTTTACTCGCCTAAGATACAAGTGAAATACACTGAACAGCGTGAACATACTTCATTTTAAAATTATTGTAAAGTGTATGTATGCATTATCCCTTTTAGCCACGTGCAGACTGGCACATGTATTTCTTATGAAATAATGTATAACAAAAGTAAAGGGAAAATTGCTCAATAGACCTTAAACAAAAAATTGTTGAAGTCTATAAAGCTGGGTGGCCTCATACATTGATAAAAAAACTATTTGGTGTCTCAAAACAAGTGGTTTCAAATATTTCATATGGTATGGAAGTGGAACCCATTCATTGGATTGAAGGCACTATGAATCGTTTTGTTACCGAAACATACTAGAGAATGTAATGGTACCTCATGCTAATGGGAAATACCTGGGGAAATCCATTTAAGATTTATTTATCAACATGATAATGGCACATGACCACAATTGTAAAGGAATGTTTTTGTGATAGGTACCTATTAATGTACGATTTGTTTTGATCAGATGAGGATTTGAATCCCATCTTTGGGAGACGTCAAAATAGAAAGTTCGATAGAAAAATGTAACTTCGAATATAACCAGTAGACAGAAACTATTCCAGGAGATGTCAGTAGGCAACTCATAACCTGGCATGATTTTTTAAAAAGTGATTTTTGGGGAAATCACTAGAGATTTTTTTTATTAAAAACCTGATTATATCGCCATAATCAGTACCACTGAAAACACCTATATATATTAATTATTATTTATACTGCAGAATTTTATACAAACTTGGAAGTTTTAAATTTATGAAGTTTCCCTTTCGATTTAAAAATCTAAGAGGATGTGGAAATGCCCGAAAATGAAAATTGATAAAATTACTAATAAAATTTTTATAATCTTAAGTACCTAGACCTAATATTTTCACAATTTTAGGTCCATAAGTTGACTTTATTATTTACTAATCGTGTCAGTATTGTGTCAGTAATTGTGTGCTAGTAATTGGCTAAATAGGTATCATATTCAGAGCCTTTTAGATTTTCAAATTTAAACAAAAACTTAAAAAATGTTAAAAAGTATTCTGCGTTATGAATGAAGTAATTTGAGATGTAGATGTAGTGTGATGTTAACTAAAGTTGTAAAATTTTTGAAAAAACTGCGATTTTCCCAAATATTACTAAAAATATTGCAGCAGGCCATAAATTATCAATTAGAATATGATGCCTAATTGGTTTAGTATATACATTCTAAAAACTGCTACATACAAAAAAAAATTATTTGAACCTTGTGTCGCAAATATGTTTAGAGGGGTATCTTGGTTCTTAGTAGATCACACTGTAATATAGGTATTACCAATATATTAACTGTATTTTATATACCAGAAATCTCAGCAAATCTTTGAGGTTAACCAAGATCTCATATAAGTAAAACACAAGAGTTTTTTGAAAAGTAGGTCAGTGTTAAGAAAATAAAAGTATTGAATAAAACTACTAATTTTTCTTCAAAGATTAAACTTCCATTAACTGTCTGAAAATTTACTAGTATTTAAGAAAACAACAGACAATAATGTCATCTTTTCTTTCTTGACAAAAATGAAATCGTTGATTTGCATATTTATAATGTAGGTATTTTGTTTATTATATTTTGTTTCAATTGTGAAGCAATATTTATTAAACAGAAAATTCAATAAATCTTATTTAATACATCCACATTCTTCAAGGGAAGTCATTACAGTATACTTTACTTTAGAAATTATAATTAAAAAGTGAATGTGTATTAGATGTTTTATTCTTTAATATTCCAAAAATATAAATCTTACTGTACAGCGAAAACTGTGCTGTGTGATGTCGTGGCAAATGGGCTGAAGTTGTGCTGACTTACCCATGCATTCTTATGACAGATTGCATGGTAAAAGTGGTGGAAAATCAGCATAATATGCCTTACTGTCACTGCACAGCATAGCGCAGCTTTCAGTGTGTAGTCGGCTTTATAATAAAATGTGTTAGCACAAAAACATGTTGATTTTACTAACTTTTGTATTTAAGGAAAATTTTTCACTTTCATATTTTGTCAACAATTCATAGACCACATGCGAGGTTTAGATGTATATTCACAAATTATATATTACTAATATGGAGGTCTGTCAAGGAAAATCGTTGAATTGATGTAACGGTATAGTCTACTTACCTGGTATTTATAATAGTTTTGATTAGTCTTTCATCTTAACAAATAGACCAAGGTAAAAAGTATGTTATTTACAATGAAGCAAAACTAAAGGCAAATTGTGGGTCACTTGTGGTTAACAGTGGTTATTTTTATTAACATTATTTACCCTCATCGTTGTCTTTTTATAATAGAAAGTGATTAATGTAAGTCAAACAAGATTATAATAATTTTATTTTAACGTTAGATTTTTTGGAAATGTATCATATTTTTAATTTTACTTAAAACAGGATCAATATTAAGTAAATTTCATTGAAATACGTTAATTAGTTAATAAAATCTGGTAGCCTCTTGACATTAGATTATTTTTTATATTATTTTTACATAATGTTAAAATTATTAGTAAGTATGAGTTAGTATTTATAAAAATCAAAAATCACTTGGTCGTGACTATTTACAATTTATTAGAGTTAATTCTTTCACATTCTCTATTATTTTTTATTATTGTATTGGTATTTCCACTGTATACTTAAGTACATTGTGAACACACAATGTATTTAATTAATGCTGAATGATTCGAGGATATATAATAAGTTTTGAACAAAGAATCTTGTGAAGAATCTTTTTACAAAACAAAACAGTTTCATAAATAAGAAATTTATTGGATATCACAGAATATACTGAAAAAAGAAAAATTCTTTTCAATTTTTCTAGTAACTGAAACTTTGATATCACTTGAACTACATATTGCCTGTTTTGCAGAAACTACAAGAGTATTTAAATGTGTCCAAATTAGCCTACTACATACAGCTTTAATCATATAAGGTGAATAATAAATAATAGTCAGTGAAATTTAAAGTGTCAGGGTGAAAATTTAAAGTGCCATGATGAAAATTTAAAGTGTGATGGTAAAATTTATAGTGCTATGATTTTTGGGTTTCTTATGACCTACTTTACTTATGTACTTGATTGCCGCCAATTACAGACTTACATTAGCCTTAGATAGGAAACTTTGACAGTCCCTTCTATTCTCTAGATAGGCTCTGTGGGAATGATCCTGGTATCAGAACCCCTGATCCGTCATGATGTTGATTTTCATTCTTGATGCTGGTTCTAAGGCCACTACGAATGGAACCACTCCTTAGATATTGGTGGCTCATAGTGGCATCTGTAACTGGTCACCATTCTTCACTGTCTACTCTTCAGTGGTGGCTCACTGCAAAAACTTTGATTATTGGTGAGACATAACCTACAATGCAAAGGTCATGTCATATATTTAAATGTCATTGTCACTTTATGTCTACTGGCTCATGTGCCTACTGCCCTCCAGGTGCTATCAATGTATTTCTAATACCTCACTAGGCCGTTTAACTAATATTGTGTGAATCAACTATTTCCTCAGCTTTATGCCCCAGTTGGCAATGATTTAAACTTAACCCTTTCATGCATAATTTTTGAAAAAACAAAATTTTTTTAAATAAAATTCAAATTCTGTCGAAACACATTATTTATATTATAGGAATAACAGTTTAAATGCAAATTCAACTCCAATTTTTTCAAAATTTACAAAAATACAAATGTCCACTACAGTGGACATCATGCAACAAACGATAATACCAATAAGTGCGAATCAATCATTATTGTGTAAATAATCAACATTTATTTGTTATGTAAACATTACAGCTATATTTTGCATCTACCATATATTTATTTTACATTATCACGGGTGTGAAAAAATTCAAAACAATCTGGGCAAAGATATTCGTTACATTTTTTGCAAATATATTTTGTTTTCCTCTTGCAAGCTGACGATTTACACCTATTTGCGTTTTTGATTTCAGTGAGACGTGGCCAGTGACCCAAAGTATTGTTGAATCTGGTTTCTTGAGATACATGTTCTACCTTTCTTTTCTTTAGTATTGGAGGAGGAGTTATTGATTTTGGCCTACCTACGCGATTGCCTCTAGTTGTGCCCTTTATAATTAGCGATTTGGCAATAGTTCCCTTGAACTGGAGAAAATCTTTTTCAGTGTGGCCAGCCATTCTGTAAATTACATACGCATTTATACATGCAACGTCTAAAAAGTGAAAAAAACCTTTTATATAACATCTTTTATTCTTGCGTCTTATCGGGTACATTGTTAGATACTGGTCGTGCAAGTCTACGCCCCCCATATTAGTATTATACAGTTTGACAGAGAAAGGTCTATCAATTTCTATCATTTTTTTTTCAGATCGGCTAAATCTTTTAGCCTTATCCTGGGGATGTTTTCCTGCGCAAGTGGATGCCACAAGCATTGGTGCTCGGTCAA